TAGTGTGACAGTGCATGCTGGCCAAGCAAAAATAGAGAGGGAGAAAGAGAGAAGATTACAAGATTTTTTTTTTTCTTTTGGACTGAAGCAACAGGCTATTACAAACTCTCGATCACTCGGATATCTTTCCTTACACAACAATACCAGCAAAGAGATACACCTTCCTCTCAGCAAGCTGGAATTGCCAGATCAGCACCTTGCTTTGATATGTGCCAGTCACTCAGTAGGGTTTTAAGGTAATCTCTGCTACATACTACACAACTGGCAATTCAGCACCAAGGACAGCGGCTCCATCCCTTCACTGAGCTGATGCTTGAACACAACGTTCAGAAGCACTGCTGCAGTCTGTCTGAAAAGGTACAGAGAGCTTTATAAGGCTGTGTTAAATGCGAGTTAACTGAATGTCTGCTAATATTGTCTGACATGACAAGTAATTAAAGGACAGGTGAAGAAACAAACCTCTGTAACACCTTATTTCGATGGTGAACTTTAAATCATTGTAAGGTAACTGCATGTCAACTAACTCTCATTCATTTGCAACTACATTATATATATAAATATCAAATGTGCAAAATATCAAACTGTAAATCTGATCAAAGTATTTTATATTTTAAATCATGTTCTAGCCACTCTGTGTCCTCGTCAGCCCTATTGTGAAATGACTTGAAAAATGCACAAGGCCCAGAGAACACATTACAACTGGTGCTTAAAACCAAGCAAACAATCTCTTTTGCGTTCCAAAAAAAGTGTCCAATTTCAATTGCATCACTTCTTTCATTTGCTAACTGCTTGCTGATAAATAAAATATATGGCACCAAATGTAGTCATATTTTGATTTGTTGGATGAATAAGAAATTTTCATCTTTTGTTTTAGAGGGTAGAATTTCAATTGAGACAAGAGAGCTGGCAGCATCTCAACACATATGTAAATATATTATTAGAATAGAAAAAAAAGGGTTTAAAGTGAGGAGCAAGAAATTAAATGTTGTTTCTTTTTTTTTGTTGTGTGTGTGTAAGATGGCGGCCAAAAGTGATGTCCGACCTCTGAAAATTGTCTTCGCACTCATTTTGATTAATTGTTGCATGTCGTGCCTGTAGTGTAAAACCAATGTGCGCAATTCCATGTTTCAACTGTATCATTTGTCATGCTGCAGTGAAACATACCAAATTTTGTTGACTTCATTTTTGGCCAACTGGTCATACTAAGCTCATTATTCCCAGTCTATAATCCAATAAATCACTATGTGGAAGGTATTAGCTATATTATTAGATTATTTTGTGGATTTTAAAAATACCTGATGGAAGAAGTTGCCATCTTCAACCAAGGAGGATATTGTAAAAATGGCTAAATCTGGTCAGTCGGTTTTGGATATCGCTTGTGCTGGTCACAATGTCCACTAAATTATTTTAAAGCAAAGACAACTACCGCACAGATTTTTAAGTGATGTGGCCGGTCAAGGAAGACTAGTGAGCATTTTGACATGAGGATGAAAATTACCTGCATGTTGGACAACCTCACAACTTTTTCTAAAACCTGGATAAAAACTCTAACCTCCAGTTTCATCTTGAACGTTAGGCCAACATCTATAAGAGGTTGGATTGAGAGGTTTCATACCAGTAAAGATAGATTGGAGCCAAATTCTGCAGTCTGACAAGTCGAAATTTAACGAAATTGGAAGGTGTCAGGTATGTTAGTCTGGAGTTTTTTAGAGCCCGATCTAATGAAAGTTCATATCTATAGCACGAATGTCATTTCTCGTGCCATTTATACGGCAAAAAAAGTTTTTGCGTGTATATGGTACGCGTTTTTCGCGTGCATATGATACGCACTTTTTGGCGTATAATACGCACAAACTTTTTAGTGCGTAGCATAAGCACGCAAAAACAATTTTTGGCATATAAATGCCACGAGAAATGACATTCGTGGTATAGATACGCATCTTCATGAGACTGTGTTGGTTTCTTAATACCAAATGCATGAGTGGTGCCACCGGCAGGGGAAACATAATGGTATTTGGCAGGGCTGGTTCAAGGGTCAATAGATATTTGGGGATTTATCCCAAACGAAAATTGGGTAATTGTTAGTTTTATTTTAATAAATGAATGAATTAAAGTATGAAAAGCTATTTAATACATAAATCAAAAGGTCTTATTGTATTTGTGAAGTAATTAATTGTGTGGTAAAATGTAAGTATAACAGTAAACTGTTTTACAATATAAATGTTCAACTACCGACAATATCCAGTGATGCAAATAACTCTAACTATTTTTTTCTACCAAAATATGCTATAATGTCATGATTCATGTTCACAGAACGTGATGATGCAAGAAATGTTTTGGATTTTTGACATTCACTGTATGCTGTGTCCAAAAACTTAGGCAGCTGACTTGTTGTCTTGCTGCCCTATCAGGCAATGTTAAACTGTGAAAGGTACCTCACAAATTCAGGCGATAACTTAAGAGGCATTTTTTTCTAGCGAGAATTTACTATTGTAGAAATTAAATATTAGCTTGGTTATCACCAATGCTCTCTCTATTTTGTTTTAGATTATTAAGCTGTTATGGTTTAATAATGGCATAAAAAGTGGAAAACTTATGTAAAAAACCCCCACAAATATTCACACAAACAGACCAACTGCAGCTTTCAGATGGCATCTTTCTTTTCTAGCTTAACTGTCACGGAATGGAAGGCACTGGATTATGGGATATCAAAGGCAACAAATGATATATCTATGCTTCCTTCAAAAAATGATCAGATTAAGGTATCTCAGGAGACAGAAAATGAATCTAACACTGGATTCGGACATGCTTTGATGCCTTCCTACATTGCAATGCATTCTCAGAAGGCAGCATTTTTTTTTAGATTTTGGAAGCAGCCTTAGATTAAGAGCGAAGCCCCTTATTCTTTAATCATTTTGATATTGACAAGACTTCTGAACTTTGAGTCATCCCAATGACAAATAGAGATGCTGCCAAAGCAAGTTATAAGTACCTTTGATGCAAAGCAAGAAAATATATGAAGAGTTCAGATGCAAAAGCCTCTAAGTGCCATTTGAAATTTTCTTCTAGAATGATCATTTTTTTCAAGCTTTTATGTTTAAGTTCAGTAATTTCACTTAAATTGCAATTAAGATTACCTATTAATTGTCATTTAAGTGAAATTACTGAACTTGAATATGAAGAGTTCAGATGCAAAAGCCTCTAAGTGCCATTTGAAATTTTCTTCTTTAATGATGATTTTTATCAAACTTGTATAATTAAGTTCAGTAATTTCACTTAAATGGCAATGATAATTACCTATTAATTGTTATTTAAGTGAAATTCCTAAACTTAAATATACAAGTTTGATAAAAATCATCATTAAAGAAGAAAATTTCAAATGGCATTTAGAGGCTTTTGCATCTGAACTCTTCATATATAAGCTTGATAAAAATGATCATTCTAGAAGAAAATTTCAAATGGCACTTAGAGGCTTTTGCATCTGAACTCTTCATATGTTAAGCTAATATGCCCTTATTCACAATTATTATCTAATATTTGTATTCATAATGATTTTTTATGATTAATTGATAAGCTCTATGAGAAAGGCAAGGTAACAAAACATTCAGGGCTTAAATAAAAATATTCAGGGCTGGAGCTCTCTAAGCCCACACCTGCCGCCCCTGGTTTTGGGTACACACCTGCAGCAGGTGTTGGAAAGATCTACAAAGTTGCTGGCACTTTGAAAATGGACCACTACTTAGGAATCCAGCTGAACACAATATGGAGACTCTATTTGGAGATAGTGTGAAATTGATCTTCAGGCCCCTGATCTTAAAGCTATTGAAAACCTTTGGGAAACTATTAAGATAATTTATGCAGGTCTTCCAATGAACCGCTTTGTGATAAACTTGAGGATTGGAAAGAAGTTAAAGGGTTGGTTCGGTATTTTACACTTAAAGCCCTGTTTTAAGATAGTTTCTGATA